ACACAATGGAGTACTACTCAGTGGAAAAAAATAATGGAATCTTGAAATTCACAGGCAAATGGATGGAACTAGAAGAAACCATTCTGAGCGAGGTAAGGTAACCCAGTCACAAAAAGACAAACATGGCATGTACTCACTCATATATGGATTTTAGACATAGAGCAAAGAATAACCAGCCTACAATCCACACCGCCAGAGAAGCTAGGAAAGAAGGAGGATCCTAAAAGAGACATACATGGTCCCCTAGAGAAGGGGAAAGGGACAAGATCTTCTGAGCAAATTGGGAGCATGGGGGAAGGGAGAGGGAGCTAGGAGACTGAGGAGGGGAGAAGAAGAGGTGAGAGGAAGACATGAGGGAGCAGGAAGGTTGAGTCAGGGGAAGAATAGATGAGAGCAAGATAAGAGATATCATAATAGAGGGAGCCATTATAGGTTTAAAGAGAAATCTGGCACTAGGCAAATGTCCAGAGATCTACAAGGATGACACCAGCTAACAATCTAAGCACTAATGGAGAGGCTACCTTAAATACCCTCCTCGGATAATGATATTGATGACTAACTTATTTGCCATCCCAGAGCCTTCAACCAGTAGCTGACGGAAGCAGAGGCAGACATCCACAGCTAAACACTGAGCTGAACTCTGGAATCTAGTTGCAAAAAAGGAGGAGTGATGAGCAAAGGGGTCGAGACCAGGCTGGAGAAACCCACAGAAACAGATGACCTGAATAAGGGGGAACTCATGGACCACAGACTGATAGCTGGGAAACCAGCACAGGACTGATTCAGACCCCATGAACGTGGGTGTCAGTGAGGAGGCCTCGGAAGCCTATGGGGCCTCTGGTAGTAGATCAGTACTTATACCTAACATAGGAATGCCTTTTGGGAGCCCATTCCACATAGAGGGATACTCTCTCAGCCTAGACACACAGGGGAGAGCCAAGGCCCTATCCCAAACGATATGACAGACTCTGAGGATTCCCCCATGGATGGCCTCACTCCCCCTAGGGAGCAGAAAGGGTATGAAATAGGTAGGGTGTTAGTTGGAGCAGGGGCAGGGGAAGAGGGGAGGGAGAGGGAACTGGAATTTTACATACATTTTCAAGATGTTTGTGTGTGCGTGCGTGCGTGCGTGTGTGTGTGTGTGTGTGTTTTACAGGTTTTCAAACTATGAAAGTGTTAAAGTGTTAGTGAGAAGGGGGAAAGATTTTAAAGAAGAGGCAAATAACAAAAGAAATGAAAGAATATATGTGATATGAAAGCAGAAGAGGGGTTATTGGGGGCAAGTTAGGAACCAGTAGGAGAGGGTCGCAAGAATGGAGGAAGGGAGAGGAAGCCAGGTAAGGCATGCCCACTGGTATAATAGTGGCATGAAAATCATGGGAATAACCAACCCATTTCTTTTTGTTATTGTTATTGGTATTTTGAAACAGGCTTTGGATGGCCTGGAACTTGTGATGTAGACTAAGTTAGACTTTAACTCACAGAAATCCATCTGCCACCCCAAAACTGCTAGCATTATACATGTGAACCACCATGCCCAGCTTCCAAACACTGTCTTATAGATTTAAACTGTGTTCCACAATATGATACTCATCAGGTTATGAACATATTGACAGACTGGTATAGGCCTTAGGGGAGAACCAACTTCTATTATACTGCTAAATGGGTATGGAATTAAACTGCCTTTGAATGAAGTGTCAATATACCCATAGATAGACCCTCATCTGAGAATCTTCTATTTGAAGTAGATTATCACTAACACAGAGGTGCATAACTGGTCACATTGCAGAGAATAAGAGACTACAGACTATCCAACCTTAAGTGGAACATACATAACACACCTCTTCCAAGGCTCAGGGATCATTGCAGAAGAAGGATGGAAAGAGTTGTAAGAGCCAGAGGCAGTAGATGGCTATGAGGTATACATAAAAATACCATAATGAAATCCATTACTTTGTATTATGATTAGCACTTAAAAACAATAAAATAGATAAGTAGAGTTGTGTAAAAATAAGGAAAGGCAAGAATGACCCTGATAAAGGGGGCGGTCATCTCGCTGGCCCCAGAGTGTGGGGCAACCACCCAGGGTTGAGTGAATGAAGCTACCTTAGTAGGCCTGGAAGACATGGCATTGATTCAGACAATACATCTGAATACCTTGAAAATCAAGTGGAATTTATATACTCCCATTTTCATTCTAGTTTCTCTTTTTTTAAAGAATGAGAATGTTTATGCTAGTCCTGCCCACCACTATGGATGTATAACAGGGCTCTTTTTAGCAGTTAATAGTTGAAAAATTTTCACCAGGAAGCCTCACTTGGATTTTCTTTACATTGAGATTGGGGACTAGAGTTGAGGACAGTATAGGTTAAGACTTTTAAGAATTATTGTGATAGAGTGAATGTTTTCATGTGCGAAGTACATGGATTTAGAGATGGGCAGCAGACAAATGTGAGTTATGAACTGGGAATCTGCTCTATTCATATGGAAGTTCTGAGTACATCAGAACAAGTCCTAAATTGGAAATAGAGTAATTACAGATGTGATTGGTTAAGGTGAGTTCATAGCCTTGCACAGTAGTTCATGTCTCTAATTCCAGCACATAGGAGGGTAAGCAAAGCAAGAGGTCACAGGCCAGCCTGGCCTACATAATGAGACATTATCTAAAGAAAAAATGCATTTGTACTCGAATAGAGTGTTTGCCCAATCCAGTATAAATGGTGTCCTTATAAAGATGGGAAATTTGGGGGCTGGAGAGGTGGCTCAGTGATTTAGAGCATTTGTTCTTGCAGAAGATCTGGGTTTGGTTCTTAACTCCCATGTGGTACCTCACAATTATCTGTAACTCCAGTTCCAGAGGATCTAGCCTCCATGGGCACTAGGTAAGCAAGTGACATGCATGCATACATACATACATTCATGGAGCTAAAACACTCATACATAGAAAATTAAGTAAATCTAACTTTTTAAAGATGGAAAATTAGACAGGCATAGTGGAGAACTCCAGGTAAAAATGAAATTATATATGTCCATAATGCAATGACTTACAGATTAGCACATGGGTCTTGAATAATTTTTCTTTTTGCGCAGAGATTCAAAATGAAAGGTGCAAATTGAAAATACGAAGAACCCAGTGGCCTGTCATCTTGAGATCTTTTACTACCTCTTTCATGATGATGAACTCTTTTAGATGCTTGAGAGGTTGAAGGCTGGCTATCACTCTAAAACCAATAGTTAGACAAAATGTTTTAAAACAAACTCACAAAATGATTTCTCTTCTGAAAACCTATATTAACTTGCATACTTTGAAGAGTTAAGCAGGATGGTGTAGTCATATTACTGATACAAAGATGGTTATATTTAATCTACTTAGTATTCATTTTAAGGAAGATAAATGTCTGCTTATTCTACTATAATTGACCAGATGGATTAAATGATTATCTCCACAGTAATACTCCTAGACACAGTGTTTAAAAAGGCAAACTAACAGGGAAAACGAACTCTTAATGATATGAACATTCCAGTATCAGTCTCTTCGAGTAGACCATTTCTCTTATGAGAGTTATTGCTATGTCTTACAGAATATGGGTAAAGCTACCATTACAGATACAGAATTGAAATATTACTCATGGAAGTGTTCCTGTTACTCTAGCCTAAAAGAAGTTAACACAATTACTCATATATTCTACCTAGCCACAAAACACATACACAATAGACTTGAACTATCTAGAAAACAAGGATAGGATCTGATGCCTTAAGAAATGAAGAGGCTTGTCCCTCACCCCAAAATTACAGAAAAGAGAAGCAAAATAGGAACAAAAACTAAAGTATTTTTTCTCTCAGATTATGACTAAGAGTTAATTCATAAGGTACAAGGTCATTATGATCATTATGCTGTCAGAGATGTACTAGGAGTCCTCTGCCACCATACCCGCAATGTTTCTGATGCTGGGGCACTTTCAGCTGAATGGTTAGGAGGGATGTACTTTATAGCAGTAATTATCCCCTGAACTGCAATGCGCTTTTGTTCCCTATACTGCAAGTCTTCAATCACCTTCCTCACTTCACTTATAGCTGTCAAGAGCGAGTCAGCTGCAAAAAACAAGTCCCAAGAAATTTTAAGTTTGAAAGAGAAGATATGATTAACAGAAAAATTAGATTTTCAACATAGCTTTACAATGTGAACCTGCCACATTAATTTAATTTTGTGAGTCTTTGTGCTTATATTTGGTATCCTCTTAAGTATTTTTCATAAAAATATGCAAAATACATGTATCAGTCCAGTTGTGATATAGGTTTCTAATCTGGTCTTTATTTGTAACAGAAATTTTGTGTATTGATTATAATTTATAGATCATATCTCAAACTATAAATTATTGGTTAGTCACTGCCAAGAAAAACTCATTTTCATTATTTCAATCATATACAACATACTGCTAACATATGTCTCTCAAGAGGATAGCAACATATAGGTGATAGTTCAGTTTTTCTATGTTTATTTTCTCCCAAACATGAAATTATCTCCAGCTATAAAAATGAACATATACTTTAAACTTTTTAACTGCCCTATATTCATTCTACTTAAAAGGAAATTAATGTTAATCCTCTCACCACTAATTCAATTCTAAATTCAGCACCCCATTTACTCTAGCATCACTTTTTATTTATATCAACAACCACGTTATATACAAGAAAAACATCACATAGCTGTCAATATCTGGATATCAGATTGTGTACCACCTCATTTGGATAACACTGTTCTTCATATGTAATTTAATAATTGAACTTTTCAATGTTATAGCTGATCTTAATGACATAAATCAAGATACTATCCCCATGTTAGTCTTTCATTTTCTAAATTCTTTGTTCTTTAGTTTAATAAGATAAAAATACATTAACCTTTAGCAGACGTAACATATATTTTGTATCTACATTTGGACAAAATTATTTTCACTAATGTTTGATAAACATAGGCTCACTCTTGTAAGAGAAGGGAATGTATATGACTAACAGTAGCATTAAATAGAGGAACTGGGAATTATAGCATTACCTTTAATAAAGCGACTATACTTGGGAAATGTCTCTGGCACTGGTGGATAGGGGTAATATCCACCAATAACAGCGTTCTTCACTCCCGAATCAGTCTTTGTTTTAATCCACTGAATAAAATTTTTTACCTTTGAATCATATGTATACGGCTGGCTTCTATGACCTTCTTGAAAGAAGGAAGAAATGCAAATAAAGTAAACAATAAAAAGAGAAACACAAAGGTCACTGATATACATTGGTTGGACTTTTTGTGACAAAAATAGCATTGTAAAACAGACTCATTTTAAATAAAAACAGTTTTACTATGTAGTATATAGCAATTTTACTTATCTACTATGTAGCATATATTTATCCAATGACAGTAAATACATCCTAAGAAAGTAAGACATATCAGAGATCAACTGGATTTAAACTAAAACTGTCTATATGATAATAAGGATCACAGGGGGAAAACTCCAAAATTCTATTCTAAATGGTTGGCATCCTCTGAAAAGCTGTTTTTTGAAAACTTAATAACTTGATAGTATGGTGTAATCTAAGAACTAAAATACACATGGACATAGGTTGGAGTTTAAATTCATGTTGTTAAGGCAGACTTAAAAGTGGCACATTTATATAAGGCATTGTTAATATTTACAAAATATTGATAAAGACATGTGCTATACATTTCATGAAGCTCAACAAATTTCTTAATTATCAGCATGGTAGCATTCTGGTAAATATCTCATTCTATACTATTCTTTCATTTGGAAATTCTGATCTTATTGGTTTTAAGGGGAAAATAATATGCTGCTGTTCCTCAGTATTTATGAGTGACTAATTCTTCCCCTGACCCTTTTATATATATAAAAAATCTATAGATGTTCAAGTTTCTTATATAATACGTCATTATATATGGATATGACCAATACACATCCTCCTGGATAATTTTCATAAGCTCTAGACTACTTCTAATACCTAGAACACTACAAAAGCACACAAAGTATTGTTATATTGCTCAAGGAATAATGACAAGAATGAAGTTTATAATATATATTCCCCCAAATACTTGTGATATGATGTCGTCTGAGTTTAAAAGGATGTGTAAACCACATATATAGAGGGATAAACTTATTTGTAGACAAATGAGACGTAGTCATATAAATTAAATGTGAGATTTGGGGGCCAAATTTTGACCCACACTTTGATTTGGTACAGTGTAAAAATAATGTCAACTGAACACTTCCTTAGTCTTTTGGCTAAGACCAAGTGTGAAAATCATGTTGACCCTACATTGTGCTACTGAGCCTAACAGTCTCCAATGTAGCAAGCAATTTTTCTATATATAGTAGTAATCAAAGTCAATCAAATGACATAAATGCAATTTTCTAATGCAACATGAAACCATTTCCTACAAGCAGTAATATAGAAGTAGTCTATTTCATAAGTCAAATACTGTTTATTAAAATATTCTACAGTCATAATGATGTCAAAATAAAGTTACCTTGAAATTGAATGTTTTATAGTATAAGTTAATATATTCTAAATGGTTCAAGTGAAAAGACTGTATATTACATCTCCAATAAAGATGATATAAAGTTACTCACCAGAAATTATAAACACTCGGCTCTCATTTGTAGTGGTGAGGTAAAGCAGATTAGGTACTTGATTGTAATTCCTAACAACTTTCAACTGGGTACAAACAAAATATGTCACTGTAGAAAATGAAAAACACGTGTGAAATTGTACTTGCATTCAAAGAGGAGGATCTACTGGAAATTCCCAGTAAGCCTTAACAAGAGAGAACATTTCTTAAGATGCCAATTCAGATTTACTAGGTAAATGTACTAGTGTGGAGTCCACCTGAGATGCTGCATTTCTATTAAGTTACCAGGTATTCTTTTGCTGCCTGTCCTTTGATCAAATGGGGATCTGACACTTCCTAGTATGTTCGTTTTTGTTTTTTGTCTTTTTTTTTAACCAGGGGTCTTTCCATTAGAAAGTACAAGGGCTGCATGTAAATAAGCAAGTAGCTTGTTGTGTAAGAATCATGCTAGCTGGGAACATCTGTGGGAGTAGTTATTTTCTCCTGGGAAAGAAAACTTAGTGTCTTTGTGATACTTCCATTGATTTATTCTCACCTGGGTTACTTGGAATCCTTCCACCACAGAGGGATATGGAATATTAACTTGTATTTGCTTATATGGATGATTTATATCTCAGATAGTTACCTTAATTAAACATCAAGACTCAATTACGGGATTTATCTGACTTACTCAGTTTCTGATAGGTTACAAATGGGATTATAATGAGCTTATAATGTCTTCAGACCTTAACTACTATAAAACCTATAATTTTTAAATTACCTATGATGTTATTCTGTCCCTGTGTACCTGCAATCCACACAAGCCAGGGAATCAAGTAAGCAACATTCATTCTCCCTTCTCCCCTCCAAATCCCCAAGACTTACCCCCAGCTGTGCAGAACACTACCTGTGTGGCTTCTCCTATCTATATCATTCCCAGGTGTCTACAGAAGATCCTGGCAGCTCACCCAGCTTTCCTCCCTCCTGTGGACACCCTCAGCTCCCCTACTACCCTATCTTCATCCCTAAGTATAAGCTCCCAATACCTAGAAACACATTCTACCAGAACCTGCAGTGGCTATACCTGGCAGGATCTCAGAAGCATTACCTACCAGGCAACCCACAGCAACCACACATTCAGAAGAACCAAAGAAGGCAACAGAAACAAAGGATCAAGACCTCCACCCAACAAACACAAGACCACATCAGCATCGAAAATTATAATCATCCCAAATCCAGATGCCTAGACACCAGTGTAAAAACACAATCAATAACAACCAGGACACTATGTCTCCACTAGAGCTCAACAACCCTAAGGTAGGCCCTGAGAGAGGCAATATAGCTGAAACACAAGATATGAACTTCAAAATAGCTATTATAAATATGCTCAAGGACCTTAAAGAGGCTATGGATAAATCTATTAATGAATTCTATGAAAACTCAAACAGTGAAATGAAACAAAGAAAATTGTTCAGGACATGAAAGTAGAATGGAATAAATAAAGAAAACCCCCAAAAAACTGGAGATAAATTTCATTAACCTAAACTTATTGTGTACTTCAACTCACTATATGCTCAAATAATTTTGATTTCATAAACTAGAAAATAAATAAACAAATGTAAATTCATGTAATCATTCAAAAGTAGGTTCAGAAGAAAGTTACTCCATCAGGGAACATAGGGAAGTAAAAGGCTTTAGTGGCTCACTGAGCTCCATGGTATGAGGTGATTTGCTGGACCTGAATGATTTAGACCACCATGCAAACTGGTGGTATAAAATGTGACAGCAATCACGATGGAATGAGGAAAAGAAAAAACAGACAATAGGGCCTGTCTGAGTCATTCAACACTCTTTTAAAATCAATCAGAATGGATCAAAGCCCTTAATGTAAGTCCTGAAACTCTGACTAGTAAAGAAACACTAAGATGTAGGTACATGCAATTACTTCTGAACGGGAGCCCAAGAGCTTCACAAATAATAGCCAGAATTGGCAAACTGGATTGAATCCAGTTTAAAAGCTTCTGCACAGCTAAGAAAACATAAGAATAAAGATACAGTTTAAAAATCAAAGAAAATCTTTGCCAGCTATTTTTCTGACAGATAATTAGTATCTAGAATATATGAAGAACTAAAAAAACTACATATCAGAAAGAACAAACTATCTGATCAATAAAAGGGTAAATGAATAGAAAATACACTTCTCAGAAGAAGTACACATGGGGACTTGGGATGCAACTCAATTGGTAGAGTGCTTTTCCAGTATTCAGGAAGCCCTGTCTTTGATCTCCTACACTACAGAAATTGGTATACACAAGACTATTTTTAAAAAGAAAAAAACTTACAAATGGTTAATAAATGTACACGAAAGTATTGAGCATTCTTAGTCATCAGGAAGATACCATTAAAAAAACTACATTGAGATTCCATCTCAGCCCAGAGTGGTTACAATCAAGAAACCAAAAACTATCAAATGCTGGCAAGGGTATGGAGCAAAAGCAAATTGTAAACACTGCTGGCCAGAATGCAATTATTCCAGAAACTATGGAAGTCAGTATAAAGGTTCCTCAAAATTCTGAAACAGCTATGTATGGCTCAATCATAAAACTACAGGGTTTCCATTTGAAGGAAACAAAGGCAACATACAAGAGATGCTTGAATATCCATGCTTACTACTGCAGCATCCACAACAGCCACAATAGATAGAATTAGCCTAGGCACCTATTAATGGGTTAAGTGGAAGAAATTATACATATATTATATGGCTATATATAATATCTCACTATACATAGTATATATAATTTAGTCAGTCACAAAAATGAAATATTATTTTCAG